TAATGCTTTTAGAAATGTGAACATCTACGTAGTATTATTGAACTGTTAGGGCGGGACAGAATTCAATTTTCTTTTGGAGAAATATATAGCATTTATTATGTATGAATAAACTAAAACACATTCTATTTACATATATATACGACTTTATAACACAATGGAACAACACACACAAACAAGAAAAGAAAACAAGTTACAAATTAAAAACCTCATAACCTAAGGTGTGGTGTATACATATTTATTTATATAGAATCAGCAGTTTGAATCATGAATTCAGTGAGCATTCTGGCGGGAAGCCTTGGGGGAAGCGTTTGGCATCACTGCAATAGTTGTAAACCATGTAATTCTTTTGCACCCATTTGATTCTCTCTTGCCCGCTGTTATCTAGCGACTCAACCAGCCACGGATTGGCTGATGGGTTTTTGGAGCAAGAACTTGATGATGGGCCGCTCCAAACACAGGCTTGGGCCGTGTAGTTACTGTATGAGGCTACAAATGGGGCTTGGCTCCAGTCAGTCTTCACCAGCCCACCTCTTGTGGCCCACTCTTCTGCATCCCAAAGGCTTCCGTACACCCACATTGGTTGGTCTTTTGGGTATGGGATCCCACTTGATCCTAAATTCTTGAATTGCCTAATAGGTGTCCCATCTACCGTAAATCTGCCAAAATTAATTAATTGTCGTATATAAATTAATCATGCATTCCTTTATGAGTATACTATGTGATGAAATGAAAAAGAAAGCAGGTAAAACAAAACTTTTTCGAATTAATTCCACTTTTGGTCCTATGAGTTGTGTCAATTCCCCCTTTAGTCCATGTCTTTCACTTTGTTCACTTTTGGTCCTTAACTTATGTTTTTTAACTATTTGTGGTCCTTTTCCGGTGATTTTAAGCATCAGAAACAATTCCAGAAGAACCATATATGGACGAAAACCCAATAGTCATGTATCAAATGTGGATAAAGTGAAATATGTGAACTAAATGGAATTGATCTAAAACTAGCAGGACCAAAAGTGAAATTTATTCAACTTTTTCTAAAAGTTAAATATTAATTAATCAAGTGCTTCGTTAATGACACCACACGGGAATAATTAATGACACTTTTTCAATACAATACGGAGTATATTAAAAAACGTTTAGTTCTTAGAAAAAACATAGAATGAATGAGAGAACTATAAAATAAACCTTAGAACTTTCACAAAAAGTGTAAATAAACTCTTTTACAGGAGGTTTTGTCCGACTGTCACCATTTGAAGCGGTTTTCGGTGGAATTTTTTGATGAAAGTTTTTGAGCATCTTCTTCATTAAATCTAGTTTATCCATACCAAATTTCAACTAAAAATTCAATCGATAAAACAATCAAATGATATTCTAAAATATGTCTAATTGCGTATTATCTTCAAAATTTTTAGCGGTCCATGTTTTTCATATGCGTGTAGAACACGTATCATTCATTTGGATGGATTATAGACCAACTATGCCCCAATTATATACGAGAAAGAATTACTTTAAAAAATAAGACTTATCCATACCAAAAATGGTAATCAGCTATCTTTATGAAATCAGAAATAGACAAAAATCTGAAAACCTCAGTTTGGAATCGTTCTTATGTACGAAGTATTTGTTTTTATAAGCACATTTGATGAAAAAAACTTGCAATTCATGCATCTCTTTTGAGGAAGACATTCATGCCAAAAGTGAGACAAATGTACGGAGTATTTCAATTCTTATTGAATTCATCCGTGTGAATTACTTTGAATAACAATTTCTTTACTTTTAATTTCGTGTATAATTATGTGAGTATATTTTTAATTGGACTAAAAATTTTTGGTCTGGTTTGGTGTGTTCTAGTGGTCTAGTTCGAATCGGTCTGATCTGGTAAAGTCTGATGTTTGTGAATTTTATAACTGTCTAAGTTTCATCTAATCGGATTTGATGTGGTCTGATTTTATGTGGTACATGACTTAGTGGGTGTTTGGATCTAATTCTTAAAACTGCTTCTGCTCCTTCAGAGAGCAGAAGCAGAAGTTGGAGTGTTTGGGTGAAAATGCAGAAGTGATTCTGATGCTCTAATTTACTCCTAGAATCAGTTCTTTTAGAAGTTGGGAGTACCAGCTTCTGAAAACTGATTCTGATTCTGCTTCTGCTTTAAAAAAAAGCGGAAACAGAATCAGTTCCAAACACCCATTAAAACATCCTAATACTTGAAATTTGTACGTATCGTTGATGACACCTCAGATCATGATCTGATTGTTAGGCAAGATGTCTTTAAGATAAATAGTGCATAGACGCCTCAATTTGTTTATTATTAAACATGTACGACATTCATTCTAAATGCACTTGGTTCGTATTAAAGGACAAGAATTTTTTTGACAACGTATTAAATGACAAGAATTGAATAATAATTACTCTCTCCTTCCCTTAAAATTTATAATCTTTCCTTTTTGGGACGTTCCAAAAAAATTTGGCACTTTCCCTTTTAATCAATTATTTTTTGGATCCTATTATTTCTCTTTCCTCTGTACAAACCTCAACCACACAATTTTTACTTTATTATTCTCCGTGCCGGTCAAGTTTGACAAAATTTTAAGGGACGGAGGTAGTATGAATTTATAAGTACAAATGTTTTTAATTGCAATGAATTTTTTTGATCGGATATGATCTGTTTAAATCTCATCTAATATGTCTGATAGATATTTGTTTTATGTGTATTTTACAATTGTCAATATGGTATAACCTAATCTAAATTAACCTAGTCTGATTCGATCTATGATTGTAATAAGTCTAATTTAAAATATTAATTAATTAGAGCATCTTCAATATTATAATGTGCACAGTGCACATGTGGCAGGAGAGAGATACACACAAAAGATTAAATTAATGACATTTCTCTCTTCTCACTAGTGGAAAAACGTCAAATAGAGGCGCTTCGTTTGAGACGCTTTTCAGCACAAACGCCTCTATTTGGCGTTAAAATTATTATTTTAAAATTTTTTAAAACCGTGCGGCGCTTATTGGAAAAAAGCGCCTCCAATCATTTTTTAAAATATTTTTTTTTAACTCGTGCGGTGCTTTCTTTTAAGAAGCGCCTCCGATTTGATTCCCGGTTTTTTTTTTGAAATCCGTCCACTCGTGCGGCGCTTAGGGAAAGAAGCGCCTCTAATTTCCCCGGTTTTTTTGGAATTGGGCCACGCGTGCGGTGCTTGGGTAGAAGCGCCTCTAAGTTCCCCGGTTTTAAATGGAATTGGGCCACGCGTGCGGCGCTTGGGCTAGAAGTGCCTCTAAATATTTCGTATTTTAAAAAAAAAAAACTGCGTGCGGCGCTTTTTGTGTAAGAAACGCCTCCAATTTTAACCCAAAAAAATACCCCGTCGTCCAAACCTAGCCGGTTGTTCCGATCCAAACCCTGCAGCTGGAAACGGAAACATCACCTGGGAAACGGAAACAGCAGCCGCACCGCCCGCGACCTTTCGACCGCACCGCCGCCCGCACGTACGCCTGCCATCGGGTTATTCGACTTCTCCAGCACGCTCGCCGCCATCGTACGTCTGCCGTAGGCTTGCTCGCCGCCGCTGCACGCCTGCAACTACTCCGGCACGCCGTCGACTTCTCCGGCTCCCCGTCGACTTCTCCGGCCCGCATCCCAGGTCAGTTTATTTTTTAATTAAGTTTTTGGTATATTTTGGTTGATTTCACTTTTATTTGATTTTAGTTTAAATTTTAGTTTAAATGTTTTCAGATTAATATATATTACATATGAGATCCATTGTTCCCATGTTTAGGATTCCTTAATTTTTAATAAAGTGGGAATTATACTTACATTGATAAAAGTGAGTTTATTTGTTAATTTTTATTTGATTGTTTTTCATTTTTATTTTTATTTGATTGTACTTTGATTTTTTTGGACCGCTTCGGCTCACAGTTAATTATAATTTATTAATTGTTTATTTGACAGCGTTATCAATGTATTTTATTTGATTATAGTATGTGTAATTATTGAAGTAATAATTATTTGATTATACCCGAATGAATAATGGCCACCACTGAGATGGAAGATTGGTTGGTTTTAGTTCGTGTTAGTTCAGTAGTGTTGAATACATTTCACTCACATAGAAACTTTTTTCTGGTATACTCCTTTAAAATGAATGGAAAATGGGGTCATTTCATTCACAAAAAAAAATGAATGGTATACATGGAAACTTTTTTCTGGTATTCTGGTTGAAACTTTTCATTCACATAGAAACTATGAAGTTAGTAGAAATAATTTTGTTTTCTGGTATACTCCTTTAAAATGAATGGAAAATGGGGTCATGGTATTCCATACGTGTCAAGGAATAAATCCGCCAAAGAACTGCGTCTTATATGCTCCTGCTTCATTGCAACATCTGTGAATATGATTTGAGCATATATATATATATATATATATATATATATATATATATATATATATATATATATATACACACACACACACACATTGAGCTTAATTATCATTATAGGATGTATAGAGTTGCGTCTACACAAAAGGGTCGTGGCAAGCCGATCAAATGGCATAATATGAAGGTACTTTCATCACATATCTTCTCTTATTTACATAAGTTATGCTTTTATGTAAAAAAATCATATTATAAAATAATAATGTATATTTGTCATCTAATATATAGTGTGCATAACAAACGGGCAACACAGAATGTGGATATTATGTGATGAAGTTTATTTGGGAAATAATAACTTCTGTTGGAAGTTCAGATATTGCATAGGTATTTAAATTATATATACTTCAATAGGTGGATTTCATTAAATCATTTAACTTATATACGATAGTATAATTTAGTTTGTCATTACTTATTTTATCTATATTTTTATGATTACTTTCAGGTTTGGAATTCAAGAACTGAGTCATATACAACGGAGGAGTTTGATGACATTAGAAAAGTATGTGCTAGGTTTTTTGTAGATGAAGTGTTATGACATTAGAACTGAGTCAAACTTGAATGTAGTTTTATTATATTGTGATACAAATTTGTACCTTTTGAATTGTATTTGTGCGAAACGATTTTATCGTTATTCTGGTTTTATGAATGAATGAATGTGTTTTTTTGGTTGACAATGGATCTGTAAATAAAACAGGTTATATAGTATTTTAAAAAAAAATATAAAAAATAATAATAAAATTTGGAGGCGCTTTTGTGAAAAAAGCGCCTCTAAAACAGAATACGGAGCCAAGTTTGGAGGCGTTTTTAATGTTAGAAGCGTCTCTAATTCATTTTACGTAGCACATTTTGGAGGCGCTTTTTTCGTCAGAAGCGCCTCTAAATAAAAAAAACTCATCAGAAGCGTCTCTGTTTGGGCCACGCATGCGGCGCTTTTTCTATAAGAAACGCCGCAAAATTCCGATTTTTTTTTTTAAATATTAGAGGCGCTTCCAGTCAAAAAGCGCCTCCAATTGAGATTTGCGGCACATTTTTAAGAGGCGCTTCAAAGCGCCGCACGTGAGCCATTTGAAGCGCCTCTGATTAACGATTTTGCACTAGTGTCTTCTTTCCACGACCTTATGTGTTTTTGGTAAGTTTTTCTCAACAATGTCAACCACAATGTCTACATAGACATTGTGGTTGACATTGTAGAGAAAAACTTACCAAAAACATATAAGATCGTTCAAATAAGGAGAGAGATATTTTATTTGTTGTTTTTTAATTGGCTATCTCCAATGACATGTATGCACCACCGTTCATGTTTTTGCATTGGAGATGCTCTTAGTACTCCCCTTGTCCCATGGAATTGTTCTCACTTCCCTTTTTAGACGTCTCGTATAAAGGTTCTCATTTCTAATTTAGGAAACAATTAACGATCTTAAATGAGAACTTAATCATTAAATATTAAAAATTATACATTTATAACATCACTTATCAACAATAGCCGCATTATATTACATACCTATTAAAATTATTTCTCAAAGTATACTCGAATTATTCTATTTAATTATTGTCTAAATAATCGTTCTATTTTTTCACGGGAACCTTCAACGGGACGGATGTACTATGTAATACTAACGTTATTAACATAGGAGATGGTTATATTATAAAGTTGGATGCACATACATGATGCTTTCGGGGTTCCAAAGGATGGAGTAGGTGTGGAAGTCCTTAGTTGGGTCAAACCAAAGGTAGAACTGTTGTTCCCTTCCGCCCTTCCCTTGCGTGAAGACATTAGTATGAAGAACGTAAGGATCCCCACTTGCGTTCCCTAGAAACTCAAAGTCAATCTCATCGTGCGTCGATCCCAATGAAGACAACTGCACCATCCCAATTATCAAACCATCATTAATAAACCTCACCAATCACCATCTATATACACTCCTTCTAGGGTTTAGCACCGGTCAAGATCGGTCGGACCAGACCGGACCGGATAGCACCTCGTCCACGTGAATCAATTAAAATACGGAGAAAATTGTAATTGAGTAATTCAGAAATAAATAGATAATAATATAATGATTTGAATCAATAAAGTTGAACAGGATACTTCGATACTTTATGGGTGGCCTAAGCTAGCAACATTTTATTCTAATACTGTCACTGGGAGTCAATGATCCTTAACGTTTAATCATTAATTATTCAAACACAATTATCCCAATCAACCTACTTTTTACACAATTTTTTAACCAATATTATTATTGATGTAATAGGGCATTGCACATAGACTTTATACGATCATAATAGTCTTTAAAAAATGATGGTCAAACAATAATTAAAGGAACTTTCAGAGTGACCATTTTGTCCTTTATTTTTCAAAACTAAACAACCTTAGAGAAAAAGTAGAAAATGCTTAATATAGGACAAAGACATACACAAAATTTAAAAATAAGACCATTATTTTTCTCCATATAGGACAAAGACACACAAAATTTAAAAGTTAGCTTTCCAAGAGTACCCTTGCATAGTACAAAAAAGTAGCGGTCCAAATTAACTAAAGGAGGGTAGATCCGTAAATGAATAGTAAAAGTAAAGGATAAATGAGTACTTTGAAAGCAAAAACTTACCAAACATAGAAATAAAGTAAAATAGAAAGTCAATTTTGGGACATGAAAAGCAAAAATAGAGATTAATTTAGATTTAAAAAAGATAGATTTTATGGTACCCATACAGTAACATATCTTTGTTCACATGGACCAATAAAAGTATTGCAGTTGAATTATTTAAATTTAAATTAAAAATGATATAGTGATTTGGACCAATAAAGTGAATGGTAAGTACGATATCTGTTTTTTAAATGTGGGCCAAAATTGTATCCTAAAAAAAGTCAAATTAGTAATACTCGGTGGTGCTAATCACTTACGTAGAAAGTCGTGACCGTGCCGGCAGAGTTACCGGCCACAAGTTTGAGCTTCATCTCAATCTTCCCATACATATACTGATTCTTTGACCGGAAACCGGAGCCGGAAGCCTTGTCCAGCGACAGCGTCAGCACCAGCCCTTGTCCGTCTATTTTTGCGCGCCCTTCTCCCCACGTAATATCCACCTCGTTGTTGAAGTTAGCGGCGGCGACACCTGACGGCGCCGACATCACCGCCAGTCCCAACAATAATAATACGAATCCCACAACCGGCGGAATCCGTCCAGCTCCCGGAATAGCCGTCATCGTGATTTTAAATTGTTTATCTAAACTAATTATAAATAATTTGGTTTGACGCGTATTTATATATATACGGAATACGGAGTATATTATTGGCTGTAATGAGAAAGGAATAATGATACAGTCTATATATGTATATATTTGTACGTGTTGAATGCATGAAAATGGCGTAGCAGCCCTTATTTATATACAGCCGTACGTAGTTCAGTAGTTGCACGTAAAAAGTTCACCCACCATATCCATAGATTGTGTGTGCATGCATTCTTTGCTACCAATTATGTATTGCTGATTTGGCGCTAGTGAAATATTTCGTGCTTTAATTTCCTGTCAATTAATTAGGAGTTTTTATTAGTAGTATCGGAGATGTTCTTATTTAGACTGATTTAAACTCCGCGGTACATCAGACCACATAAGACGCACCACACTCAAACAACTCAGACCAGAACATAATCTGACAAGACCAGAGTAAAGTCAGTAAATTACAACAGACGAGACATGATTTAAACAAACTAGTTCATTTCAGTCCAATTAGAAACATCCTAATGAATAACATTTTTTTCAAAATTTAAAACTGTTGGAAAAGGTGTTAATAAATTGCATTAAATGGTCATTTTTGGGCAATGTTTTGAGTGGGGTCTACTTCCGATTTGAATCGGGTCAAAGTGGTTTCGGATTGTCTTTGCTAAGGGCTACAATTCGATATATGGTACACTCAAAATGGATAACAGGTGAATGAGAAATTGATTCTCGAAGTTCACTTGTTAAAATGGAAAAACATGGAAAAAGATGGGTTTTCTAGTGGGATTTATCCCACACCGAAAAACCCAAGAGATTTTCACCCCTTTATAAAGGGAACCCACCTTGAAGGAGTTAAGATTTCTACAGGGAAAGGCTCTCTTCGCGTGCAAAGGGTGGGATGCCGATCAAATCCCGAAAATGGAGAAGAAAAACCGTGACTCGTGTGCGCGGACGGCCTACGAACACGGATGTCGTCCGAAAATCTATCAGAATTGCTCAGCGGCAGAATTGCTCCAGACCAGAAGACCTGAGAGGGTCTCTGGGGTCTTCCGGACAGAAGACCACGAGGTCTTCCGGTGGCTTCAGACCAGAACACCTCTCGAGGTGTTCTGGCGGGGGTCTTCTGGTCGCATCAGAAGGACGATTTAATGCCCAACGGATTGGTCATTGATGTCCAACATTCAGGTCCATTAACCTCCATTCAACACACAACAAATCCTCCTATATATAGCTGCCAGGTGCTCTGCAACAAACACACGTTCACAAACGAACCCGCACACTCTTTAGCTCTAAAAACACCTCCAACTTTTCTGAAAAATTTCCTGAGTATTCTAGCTTGTTCTCGTTCGTCGGAACTTTTGTTTGTGTGCTCAAACGTTAGTTCGTTAGCCACCGTATCCTGGGAAACGGTTGTTGCAACACTCCTAGCACCGTGGGAAGCAGCAAATACGTTTTAAGGACATCGTGCTACGCACGAGCTCTGACTAAATTATGTTCCATCTTATTTCTGTTTTTCTTAAGCTATTTTATTTATTAGTTAATTTTATTTAATTAAAATTTCTTCGTTTTTCTGAGTCACACCCAACAAAAACTTCCTAGCTAGTATTCTTAAGAGAATTTCGTTTCCATAATTATCCTTTATTTTACATGATATTTTCTTTGCTTAGAGTCTTAAACTTCCAAACAGAGCCTTATGGTCTTTGAACGGGACACCCCACACGCTATCTCCGAAAGATAAGCTTAATTAATTGTCATATATCTGCTTGCTTCTAATCCCAATCTTATGGTACGTAGATATGACCGGCGTAATAAATCCCAATTCTAATTATTGGGGAAGAGCCTTACGGCGTTATCCTTTTAAGGTTACAGAGTATTTGCGTATTTGAGCCTTGGTTTTAACTATAGGACAAATATGATCTATATACATCTCACCCTCTCAGTTGGATTCAAAGGGGTTGATAATACATGTTTTCGATTGGACGGTAATTTTCTTGTCCGAACAGTTCTGGTATATTCAGTTTAAGCTTGCTTGTTCTAGTCTATTCAAGTCTGAACTAGTCTGGTCGGATAGATGTTTGTTTTATATGTATTTATAGAACATGTCAAAGTCTGGTCTGATATCATTTGGTCTATTTAAATCGGGTATATATATAGTATAAAACTGAATCAAGTTCAATAAAACATCTTATACAGATGGAACGTTTATTTATCAAAGCATGCCTATGACCTTAAGAGTCCAATTAGATAGCACTTTGAGATTGATTGAATTGATTGAATTTGTTAAAATTTTGGTTCAAATAGCTCAATTAGCTGAATCTTTGGAATTATAGTTCGAAAAATATAGAATTATAGAAACATTTAATGAAAAACCTAAAGTAGTCATATATTCACCAAAACCAAGCAATTTTGAATATTATAGTTTTTGTGAACAGAGTAAAAAAAATTACCAAGTGTATAGTAATAAAATTGATTGACGCACAAACATAAAACAAGGGGTACCAAACAGGCATGAGATTGAGCACTAGTATAATTTGAGGTATATTTTCGGTTATCCCATAACGTGGGTAGCTCAGTTGGTTGAGTGGTGATAATTTTAATTTGAAACAATGATCAAGGTTCGAAACACGCAACGACCGTGTGGAGATTACAACTCGTGCATGCGGAGTTCAGTAGCAGTCGTGAGTTACGAAAAATATTTAATTTGAACCTCTGATGCACACGGGTATAAGACATACCCGTGGGTTACTCTTTCGGGCGATTCCACCGTTTTGGAACAATGAGCTATATTTTCCGACAATAATAGTTTGTGACTGGATTCTAATAATTCGATTTGAATTTGGGTTACACTCGAATCAATTGTGTTGTACTTTACCTAAGAATTATGCAATAGCCACTTGGAGAAACATGACCTTCGTCAACTTATAATAATAATATGACAAAAGTAAAATGCATTTTGAAAGACTTTGAAGTGTTACTATCTGTCTATATCCAGAGAAATGCGGAGTAAATGTTTTTCCCCGGTGAGGCGTAGAGTCAATACTTCTGTTGAGAAACTTTGAAGCACTAAAAGAAGTATATGGGAAGTTTATTAAATTCTGTATTCGTGAGTGTTAATATAACACAATAAAAGCAATTACATGATTTGAATCATATCATAATTATCAAATTTATCGACAATTGGCCAATTGGGTAGACGATTAATAATAATTGGAATAAAAGCTAATTCACACAAACAAATATTTGGAGGAGTATGAATGGTAAACAAGTATGAAAGGAGATGTTTGGAATTGAATTTGCATCTGTTTGTTTTAGAAGTTGTCCCCTCATTTTCTAAAAAAACTGTTTCTGTGAACAATTTGGAACCCTCATTAGTACTTCTACACTTCCATCCAAACACCTATATAGCTTAAGGCGTTGGAGTATAATATTACCACAACATTGCGTAAATGTCCCAACTTAAACGTAACACGAGAAGTGTAATTTGTACTAATTTGGGGTATAATATTACCACCATCTTCTAATGAAGTCAAATTTATATGCACTATAAATGCAAGTAACTTAATTAAGAGACAAATTTTGGGTACGAAACATTATTTTGAACTTTACACAATATGTCAATATATACAAAATATGTACTCCCTCCGTTCCTATTTTATCTTCCAAATAGGTTTGTCACACAATTTAAGATAGTGGGTATTGTGTGGTGGAAAGTTGTGCAGAGGAGAGAGAAATGTGTAAGAAATGTTGTGAACCACAAATTCTTTACTAAAAAGGGAAAGTGAAAGTTTTAATTGGAACGGACGAAAAAGGAAAGTTGGAAATTTTAATAGGAACGGAGGGAATAACAATTTTGTCTAGGGACAAGTGAGTATAGATATCCTAACCAAGGTGAATACAAGATGGAGTTCGAATGAGATGACTACGTCCTTCAGCTGTTCAGCAAAATGCTCCAATGATTATGACCTCTACGGTACTAGTTTAAGGCTTTAAGTCTTCCACGGTTCGATCTTTCAAACCATTATATATGACCTTATATTTAAGGCATGCATCTCCAAATACACCCCATTTTGAAAATAACACATAACCGGTTTATTAAATGGAGGTGGTATGAAATGTGCCTTTGTCAACTTTCCTTTTTTGGTTGTTCCAAAAACTTTGTCACTTTCCCTTTTATTCAATCAATTTGTGGTTCCTGTTATTTTTCTCTCTTTTGCACAAATCTCTACCACACAGTTTTTACTTTATTATTCTAAGTGTCAGTCAAACTTGGCTATCCTTTTAGAGGCAGAGGGAGTATGTCATTAACAATACCCCTGTATATAATGAAAAATTGAAAAGAACACTAATTTATCGAAACTATTCACTGAACCACACGTTTAGCATGTTTTCTTTTGGACTGAAATTTGCTGATCTGGTCTGGTCTGGGTTGGTTTAGTCTAAATTGATCTGGTCTGATCTGGTACGTGTCTGTTCTCTGTGTATTTTGTAACTACGGAAGTCTGGTCTGATCTGATCTAATCTTGGACTAAAAACAACCCAAAAAAAAACATCCTTAGTCCGTTTAGGGAAAAAACACTTTGATTATAACAGTTACTATCCAATAATTTTTTTGGGGAGGTGACTTATATTATAAATAAAATATCATAATTCAGATGAGTAGCAAAAAGATCGATAAAGGGTCCATTCTCAACCGTGAGCCCTCCAACAAGACTTAAAATCAAAAGTAATTCTCCTAAATAGGACTAAAACATTGTAAAAACTTCAAAATAGGACTATAAGTTTATTAATTCATAAACATGATTTCAGATTACAATTTTGCCCTCTTGTTATTAAATCCAAACAATTGTCTTTCTCCTGGATCTGGGAACAATCGACTTCGCCCTCACTTGTGATTCCTCCCCAAACGCAGCTTCTCTCCCTGCGATGGAACGCAAGATTCCACCTTTGACCGCAGATGCCCTCCCGCTCGACGCCGGCCACATCGATTTCTCCGATGAAGACAGGTTATCCTTTCTAAGTTCTTCTTCTTCCTCTTCTTCACGTTCTTCTCAACTTCCTTCCTCATGCTCTGTTTTCTTCTTCCTAAGATTATTTTGATTCCATATTGCTTTTTGTTACTTTAAATTTTCAGATTAAATAAAAAACTATTTCAGATTCTTAAACATTTAGATGAACAGAGAGATTTCAACTTTCAATGAACGAACAATTTGAATTTGAGAATTATTTATTTATTTACTAATTTTGATTAATTAGGAATCTGAGAATGTCATAATTACTGGTTATTAGAAAAAATTGTCACTATTATATCATTACACCTAACCAGATGACAATCTTAATATGAA